AAGCCTAGGTAGGGAGAAATATGGTTTTCTTGGTACACTCAGCAGGTACATGCAGAGACACTCATGGCCCATGGCAGACTGCTTCTGCCAATATAAACATGACCTTGAGGTCCATGAAACAACGGCTACTTAAAGGGTAAAGCATAAAAGAATGTTCCATATGTATGTGTTTAAATCTTTATAATCTATTTACTTCTTCCTTCTTTGACTGATTCACAGTTAAGTTTGCTAATTAACTAGTGTTTTAAAGCTGTGCTCAATCATTCAGTATAAAAGACCAGTATCACTCTCTGTTTCAAACAGATCGAGAGATCCAAATAGATTTAGATTTGATTTGTTTGCCCTGATTTCATAGCTTGTGTTACAAACTTTTACCTAATGTTTGGTTGTCTCTCTTTTCAAGACATTAGCAGCCATTTCTAATTATTGCCTAGATGTATAATGACATTAGAGATTGAAAAAAAAAAGAGGGGGGTGATATTCTAATTCCACTATTACCTCTTTGCTAGCTGGAGCACTGCTATAAAGGGAAGATTCTTCTCATTATCTTTTTGGAAAGACATGGTAGCTGCTTGATTCTCCCCTTTATCTTTTTTTTTTTTTTTATCAGTTGGAGGCTAATTACTTTACAATATTGTAGTGGTTTTTGTCATACACTGACATGAATCAGCCATGGATTTACATGTATTCCCCATCCTGATCCCCCCTCCCACCTCCCCTTTATCTTTAAATTCTCATTCTCCAAAGTGGTTAATGACTTCTTGTTTTAAATATCATGAATTCATTCTAATATCCTCCAAGGTGACCAATGCATCTTTTTTTAGAATCATAAATTCATGGACATAAACATACCCCACTGGACATCCCTCTTAAACATGTTCAAGTCTACCACTCAAAAACAAAACAAGTCCCTTACTGGATTTCTCACCTCCTTTTCCCAATCTGCTCCAGCATCGCCTACTAACTCTATTTCCTAACCTCTCACTTACTGTTGAACCCTCTATAACTGGAGGGTTAAAAGTTATAACCTCCCACCACCCAAACATAACAGTTCTTGCAAAGGGCACTAGTTACATCCATTTTGCTAAAACCAAGGTGGACTTCTGAGGCTTCATCTCATTCAACTACTGTAGACCATTTCTTCCTGGAAGCACTTTCCCCATGCTCCCATGATACTGTGATGTCCTGGTTTTTTCCCTACCTCTCTGGCTACTCTTCCTCTGTTGTATTTTCAAGCTTATTCTTCTTACTCAGCCATGACATGTTGGCAGTTTTAAGGCTCAGTCTTGGAACACTGTCTTCTTTACTATACTCTCTGCCAACAGGATCCCATTCACACCCAGGATTTCACTCCCACTTACACAAAGATATCTCACAACAAATCTATATTGATACCTTTCATCTCTCCCTCTGAACTCAAATTTTATATTCAACTGACTACATGACAGCTTTCTTAAGGTCTAAGAGTGTTTCTACCTACTGCACACAAACATAAAGTCAATACTCAGTCATCAAAAAGAATGAAATAAGACCAGGATGGGGAATACATGTAAATTCGTGGCTAATTCATTTCAATGTATGACAAAAACAACTGCAATGTTGTAAAGTAATTAGCCTCCAACTAATAAAAATAAATGGAAAAAAAAAAAAAGAATGAAATAAGGCCATTTGCTGCACCATGGATGGACCTAGAGATTATTATACTAAGTGAAATAAGCCAGGCAGAGGAAGACAACTATCAAGATATCACCCATATGTAGAATCTAATTTTTAAAAAATGATACATATGAACATATTTACAAAATAGAAACTGACTCACAGATTTCAAAAACAAACTTATGGTTACCAAACAGGAAACCTGGGGAGAGGGATAAACTAGGAGCCTGGGATTAACATACACACACTACTATATATAAATAAATAACCAACAAGGACCTACTATATAGTACAAGGAACTCTACTCAATATTCAATAATAACCTATATGGCTAAAGAATCTGAAAAAGAATGAATATGTGTATGTCTATAACTGAAGCACTTTGCTGTCCACCTGAAACTAGCAACATTGTAAATCAACCATACTCCAATAAAATTAAAAACAAAACTAAAGTCAGGATCCATGAAAAAAAATCATCCTCTTCCAGTAAATGCCACCATTCTCCAACCAGATGCACAAACTACTCTCATCTCTGAAAACTCCATTTATTTATCTCAGCCTCATACCTATCTGTCAAGTCCTGTTGATTTATCTTCTAACAGCCTTTCAATTATGACTCCTTTCCATTTTAACACTACAAACCCAGTTCAAACTACTGATAGCTCTCACCAAGGCCACTGCAAGGGCCTACTGATAACATTGGTCTGATCAACTGTGTCCTTTCTCCAAACACCTTCTGCACTGCAGCCAGTGTGGAGGTGATCACGCCAAGCCTTTCAGCGGTCTCCCACGGCTTTTACACAAACTCCTGACGTGGCCTACACTCTGTGTAACTTGCCTATTGTCTTCATCTTCATATCTTCATTGAAAATCGTGCTGCCCTAGAGAGCAACCATTCAATCTACTGTCTATGTGTTTGTTTGTTTGTTTTAATGTGAAAGAACTTTGCACATGCTGCTTCCTTGGTCTGAAATGCTCTTTCTTCAATTTAACTCCTCCTTCACACACACGTCACTTGCTAAAGGGAGCCTTCCCCTGACCTTCGTGACCAGATCAGATCCCAGTACCACAGGCAGTCATAGCCTCTTGTACACAACCTTTGTAGACTTGTCATATCTGCAATTTTACATTTCTTTATATGATTTTTTGGTTTACGCTAATCTTCTCCATCAGGTAAACTTCATGGGAACAGAAACTATGGTTGCTTTGTATTCCGAGTGCTTGTCATGTTAGATGTCAAGTTAGTATACGTTGGATGAACGAACAAATGAAAACGAATGGATAAATATCCAAGTTTGTTGAAATTAATATGCGTTGTCCTCTTTCAGAAGGCTTATTGTGTTTGCTCTCGTGTACTTTATATAAATATTTTATGTACACAGAACAGTGTCTATTCATCGATAAGAATGTTATTAATATTATAAATATGTTATTATCATAAAGGTTAGCTGTTGTTATCACTGAATTCATTCCTTGTGGCAGAAACTATTTTCTGGTTACCTCTGAATCTATTCCTGAACACCCTGTCCCTTACCTAACTCTATTATAAAACTAGACAAAATCAAATTCATAATTTGTTTCCCTCATAATTATCGCCATGAGACACAGTTCTGGTTAGTGAAATATAAGTGAAACTTTCTGGGAAGCTTCCAAAAAGGTATGGACTTCCTGAAAAACAGAAGTCTTTGCATTCCTTTTCCCTTTTTCCTCACGCGAATATCAACGTGATGTCTAGATTCACAGTAACTATCTTGCAACTATTAGAAGACAACAAAACTGTACAGCCACTAAAACACCAGAAGTGGCCACCTACTTCAGGCCTTTTTGTTCAATGAGAAAAGTGAAACCTATTTTCTTTTCTATTACTTGTGTATAAAAATACTCCTGATATTCTGCTAACTAGATTTTCTTCCAGACAAATTACCTTACATGGGCCAAGATATTTTTTCTCTTTGTTTTTAGTTTCCCTTCTTTATATCTTTTTTCTCCTAATAAAATTTCTCTGTCACTCTCCCTAATAATGTAACCAAAATAAAATATCCAGTATATTTTTCTTAGGAAACAGAAAATTAATTACAATTTTTAAAACTAAAGAAAGATTTTTAAAATTTCTTGAAAGTGAAAGACAGTCATGTTTGACTCTTTGTGACCCCATTGATTATGCAGTCCATGGAACTCTCTAGGCCAGAATACTGGAGTGGGTAGCCTATCCCTTCTCCAGGGAATCTTCCCAACCCAGGAATTGAACCAACATCTCCTGCATTGCAGGCGGATTCTTTACCAACTGAGCTATCAGGGAAGCCTAGTTAATTTACAAATATATGAAAATCAAAATAACATTCGTTTGGTGACATGGCATAAAACAGAATTTAAGTTGCTTTGCTTTTGCTCATTCTTAAATATAAAACCAAGCTTTAAAGTATTCTAATGTCTATTCAAATACATGAACATTAGCATGTGATATATTCTGATGTGTTCAAGGGTCAAATGTTAAATAAGCAGGAAAATAAATCAGATACTCTATAGACATACTTTGATTATGTGTTATAGACTATATTTACTTTTTTCTAAAAATTAAGTGTTCAGTTCAGTTCGGTTCAGTTCAGTCGCTCAGTCATGTCCGACTCTTTGCGACCCCATGAATTGCAGCATGCCAGGCCTCCCTGTCCATCACCAACTCCCAGACTTTACTCAAACTCATGCCCATCGAGTCAGTGATGTAGAAAGTATAAATAATACTTTAAGAACTCATAAATCTGAATAAGTAGATTAAACTATGAATGTTAACCCATGGGACCAGGATATTTCACCTATATTCTAAATATGGCATGCAATTTAGGTTTATATGTTGAGGGTAAGTCTTAGCCTCATGTTATGTCCTTAGAGCAAAAAGGAATATGAATTAAATTATCTTGGGCCAGTGCCTTTTCCAGTCTGTTCTCAGTACCCCATCTATAAAACAAGGAGGGTAGACCACCTATAAAACATGGATAGCAGACTTTTCTACAGAGCCTAGAAACCAAGTCTCCAAACTCTCTACCTCTGATTAAGGAAGAGCAGATATGCTTTTAACTAATTAAATTTTGATCTTCTACACATGGTTTCCTTTAAAGGAAGAGCTCAGTAACTAAAAACAGCTTGGAAACTACTGGATAAAATGATCTTCTAGGTCTCTTCTGATATTACTTTCATGATGAAGTGATTTCTTTAAACTACTAAATTCTAAATAGCAAAATCCTACACAGCAAATCTGTTCAACTAAATATGTATGTAAGAAAATTCATGTAACAATGTGGTCTTGATCTATTATCAGAAATATATTCAAATAGAATTCATGTTTTTACCTTGTGAAAATGCCATCCACAATTCCAATTGTTGCTTCCTCTGCAGGTACATAGGAACCAATCTGAGCCATGACAGTAATCAATGCAACCTGTTTTATGTACGAGCTTTTTCCACCCATGTTTGGTCCAGTAATTATCATGACTCTCTCCGAATCCCCCTAGAAAATTAAAAAGCAATTTCACTTATTGTACCAGAGGGACTTCTATATAATATCTATAATTTATTCCATAAATGGGAATGTATTAGGCAAAGATTATGCTGTGGTATTTAAATGTCACCCATTAAGCATCACAAAGGGAAAGAAGCTCACTGTCTTCAATGTGAACTGTGATATTATAGAACAGTGAATTCTCAGCAGCACTCAAGGTTGTTTTGGAGTATAAAAAAGGAAATAACAAGCATCAACCTAGATGAGATAACTCCTATGGTTTTCTCTTTAAATAATCATTAATCTGCTTATGAATGTCTTTTATATTACTTACATTTAAAATCTATCAATTTCCATATGTCCATCTTAAAAATTATAGGTATTATATATCTAACAGCAGAAGGCCTAATCTGAATTGGTAGCACATGGTATTTTCAGTTATAGATTTTAATATCGATAGTAGAGAGATTGATAATACCAAATTCTAGGTATCAATTTTATCAGCATTTAACTACTCACTGGCATTTCACCAGAGTAAGTGAAAAAGGCAGAAAAGCTGCAATACTTGCTGTGATTTAATTTCTAGAACTTACCTGCATTAAACAATTCTAGTACTTGCCAAGTATATCCTAAGAGAAACCATCCAACTGCAGTCCTCTACAGAGGAGTCAGCCTTAGGCATCCACTTGCTTTACTATGTGAACACAACGCCCTTGGTAATCCCTGCCTGGTCAAGAGTAGCCAATCCATAACTGACCAACAGCCTAAGAGATGACATAAACGTCTTCTGAAACTAGGCTCATCAAATCATCTCTTGGGAGTTGAACTTGAGAACTGTGGAGTGCGTGTGTGCATGCTCAGTCACTTCAGTCGTGGCTGACTCTTAGAGCCCCCATGGACTATATATAACCCACAAGGCTCCTCTGTTCAGAGGATTTTCCAGGCAAGAATACTGGAGTGGACTGCCGTGAGCTCCTCCGGGGATCTTCCTGACCCACGGGTGGAACCCTTGTCTCCTGTGGCTCCTGCATTGCAGGCAGATTCTTCACCACTGAGCCACTGGAGAAGCCCCAAGAACCATGGAGAGGATCAGTCAACTGATAACCAGAGGACAGGTTGATAAGAAAGGCAGAACGAAGCTACAAGGCACTGGGGACCGTAAAGGAGAAGTCATGAGGAACCAAAAGGTATGACAGGGGTAAAAAGAATAATTAGCAATGAAAGGAAAGAAAAAAATAGAGAAGAGACAAGAGGAGTCGAGATGCCTCATGCAAATAATGGGGTATCAGCATTACAAAGCCTTACAATTGAGGAGATAAAAAGTAAACCTATTCCATCTCTAAGTTGAAAAGGTGAAAGTGTTAGTTTCTCAGTCCTGTCTGACTCTGCAACCCCATGGACTGTAGGCCCCCAGGCTCCTCTGTCCATGGAATTCTCCAGGCAAGAATACTGGAGTGGGTTGCCAACCCTTTCTCCAGGGGCTCTACCCAACCCAGGGACTGAACCCACAAGTCTCCCACATTGCAGGCAGATTCTTTACCCTCTGAGCCACCAGGGAAGCCCTAAATGATAAAACTTATGATCAAAACTTTTAAAATTTTTCTTCAGATGTTAAAAAATAATAACCCTATTATAAACAAACATTTGACATATGAAATGCTTTGAAAATTCAGATTAAATGAGCAGGGTTCTTTTTAAAAATTGATAAAAATAATATAATAAATAGAACATAATCCAGTATATATTAAAGATTTTAAATCTGTAATTAAAAGTCCTTCAATAAGAAAACCCAAACCAAAGTTTGAGATAACTTTCCCACTAAGGACAGGGAAGCCTGGTGTGCTGCACTCCATGGGGTTGGAAAGAGTTGGACACGACTGAACGATTGAAGAAAAAATAGTGCCAATCTTACAAAAACTATTCTAGAGAATAGAACAAGAGGGATCTCTTCCCAAATCATTTCTGAAAGCCACCATGATCTTGACACCAAAACTTGACAAGAGCATTACAAGAAAGAAAACTTATAGGTCAACTTCATCCACAAATACATATACAAGACTCCTCAATAAAATATTAATAAGACAATCCAAAGATACATAAACCATTTAGGATTTTTGAGGAAAATAAGGTTGGTATAATATTCAAAAGCCAATTAATGTAATTTACCACAATAACAAATCAAATATCCATTCATTTTTAAAAATGCAGGGAAAGGAAACAAAAGGTATAAGGATTAGAAAGAGAATAATGAAACTGTCATTATTCCTATATGTCATTACTATGTTACCAGTGATCTATGAAAATTATTAGAATCTACAAATGAAATGAGCAAGCACTTTAGGTACAAGTTCAGTATTCAAATGCCAAACATTATTTCTACATTTTATCAACAAGTAATTGGAAGTTTTTTAAATGATCTAATTTACCACAGTATCAAAAGAAATCAAATATCTAGGAATAAACCTAATACAATGAACAAGATACACAGAGAAAACTACAAAATATTATTGAAAGAAATTGAAAAAGGTAAACAGTAAAAACAAGGTTTCTTTTAAAACAAATTTATAAAAGCTTTTGAAGGCTTGATGCTTTTGAACTGTGGTGTTGGAGAAGACACTTGAGAGTCCCCTGGACTGTGAGGAGATCAAACCAGTCAATTCTAAAGGAAATCAGCCCTGAATATTCACTGGAAGGACTGATGCTAAAGCTGAAGCTCCAACACTCTGGCCACCTGATGCAAAGAGCCAACTCACTGGAAAAGACTGCTTCTTAGAAAGACTGAAGGCAAGAGGAGAAGAGGATGGCAGAGGATAAGACGGGTTAGATAGCATCACCGACTCAATGAAGATGAACTTGAGCCAACTCCAGGAGATAGTGGAGGACAGGGGAGTGTGGCATGCTGTAGTCCATGGGGTCACAGAGAGATGGTCATGACTTAGTGACTGAACAACAACAATAACATTGATCAAAAGATGTCTAAGAGAATAAAGAATTACAGAATATATGATATACGAACTATATATTTCCCAAAGACTTGAATGCAGTGTACATAACTCCCACAAACCAAAAGAAAGACAAACTTCAAGAAAAATGGTAGAAAAAAAAAATTTTAATGACAGTAGAAAAAAACACAAATGACATTAAGATGACAGTCTACTTTAAATCATTAAGAAAACACAAACCAAATCAGGGAGACAACATTACTTCACTAAATGGCTACAGTTAAAACCAAAAACTGTCAGTATTAAGCTTTGGCAAAGATGTAGGACAACTAAAATTTTTATATACTGTTATTAGGGGAGTAAATTGTATACAATTTTGGAAAACTGCTTGGGAGAGTCTACTAAAGCTGAAAATAGACATATCTGAACAATTCTGCTCCTAGTTACATGTCCAACAGAAATGTATATGATGTACTTTTTCTTTTAAAAAAACATGTAAAAGAATGTTCACAGCAATACTTTCATAACAGTACTAAAGTGGAAGTAACTCAAATGTTTATCAAGAGAACAGAAAAGTTATATATTTATACAATGAAATTCTCTATGACAATATAAATAAGCAATATGCAAAAAAAAAAAAAGGATGAATCACATAAAACCAATGTTGAATCAAAGAAGCCAGACACAAAGAATATATATTGTATGTTTCATAAAGCTCAAAAATGAGAACAAAAATAACCAAATTATTATTCTTTGGTAAAAGAAATTAGTAGAGTGGTTACCGTTTAGAGGGGAAGGAGTTATTGGGAGGCCCTCCCTTACTCTACAAGTGGAGATTTTAGAATGCGTTCATTCCCAAGCTATTGTTCTATTTCTTGACCTGGTTTTGGATACTTGAATGGGTACACTTTGTGAAAATTCATTAAGCTATACACTTGTGATTTGTACCTAATTCTGTATGTTATGTTTCGATAAAGGTTATCTTCAAAAGGAAATGAATACATTCTCACAAATTAACCTACCATGTGATACAACTGTAGAAGTTAATTCTGAAATTTCTTTGATAGAGTTAAGTCAATTCAACTTTGAAGAAGCACAGCTGGGAGAAGAGACTTTGTAAAGCTATAGTAATTAACAGTGCAGTCCTGCTTTCGGAACAGGTAAACAGAGAAGTAATGGACACAAACATACAGCCTGGACATAAAGTCTGGACACAAACCTATACTGGCACGTGGTATATGTGAGAGTTAGGATTACAAATGAGCAAAACAGATGCCATGTTCAATTAAAAAATGGTGGGATAACTGGGTAGCCATATAATAAGAGTCAGGCTTGAATCTCACACAGCCTCTCAATCAATCTAGATGGATGAAAGAAAAAAATATGAAAAGCAAACAATCTTTTACAAGAAAACATGGAAGAACAACTTAGTGACATGAAGGTAGGGAATAATTTATTGACAAGATAGTATAAGCAACATAAAAATATAAATCATACAGGAAAAGACTAATATGTTTGATTAAATTTTTAAAACCTCTGTTATTAAAAGAAGTCACCAAACAGAAAATGAAAAGTCATATAACAAAGAAGTAGTGCTCCTACTTATAAGAACCATCAAAACAATGGAAAAATAGGCAAAGGACATAAATGTGTTATATATAGAAAAAAGAAACACAAAGGCCAAAAAGTATTTATCAGGGAAAGGAAAATGCAATCAGCAACATTTTTCAAGGGACCTACAAGCTATTCCTCATAGTCACATGAGAAAATAAAAAAAGAAATATCAGTGGTGAAAATTTCTGAAGGAATAATTTTTAAGAAATAAATTTTTACATTCATCATACTATCAAAAAGTTTAAAAGTTTGCTTACATATCATGTTGGCAAGAATGTGGACAGCAATTTGGAAATGTTTAGTGAAGCTAAAGAGCCCATTTACTGGTCTACATGACACAGCGATTCCCCTTATAGAAATCTAGGAAAATACACAAGCACTCAAAAGGACATTTATAAAGCTGTTCACTGTAAAACAGTTAGTATTCATAATAGACAAAAAAAAAAGAAAAAG